ACGAATTTTCTCAAAATCGACGAAAACGTGAAATCACGGACGGACAGAAGGACGGACATGACGAGCACAATATAGCGCCTTTTTTCCATATATGAGAAAATTCGATAAAAAATCGGCCAATTTTAATCCAGTTACTGAATTGAAAAATTGTTTTCGTCAGCAGAAGGCTTGAGATTTAAATTACCTTCACTGTAAGAGTAGGATTTATGTCCTGTAAGATTTTACCACGCGACCAGATCTTAGCATTCAATTCCCTATGCAATGTGAAGAAAACCTTTTATGAATGTATATAATACATTTTCTTGAAAATTTCGAAAAAAGTATGCTTGAAAATTTTCGTTAAAAAATCGTAAGTAATATGCAGAAAATCGAAGCGTTTAAAAACTCTCTACCAACAACGCCTAAATTTATTAAAGTGAAAATAAACTTGATTCAGAAATATCCGTAATATTTTCATTGTACAGATGATTTGTGATTCAAGCCATGAACACGGATTAAACTGGTACGACCATGCTCCATGCTATGCTACCGCAAATTTTTATCTTGCCTGCATCATTATCACGCTATTCATCTACTAAACACTTTTTTATTAAGCTATCATTAACGCGCATATCTTGGTTCTGGTAAACTCCTCTTGGTTGTCGATAGATATTGTGATTATTAAATATTTGGTATGAGACTATACTTAAATACTGGTTTTTAAATCCGCAGACTATTTAAAAAAACATTCTAGCATCGGGAAAATGTCCTTTTTTTCCACGGCAACGCTAAGTCGGAAAAAGTGAGAGTATTAAAAGTCATAAAAAAGTATTAAAGTAAAAAAAGTATTCCCAAATTCACACATTATATACAAGTTTTTGTGCAAAAGTTACAAAGCGAGCGAGCAAGAGGCTGTGGCAGCCTCAGATACTCACCGTCAGGAAGAGCGTCGTCGTGTCGCTAAGGCCGCTGCTAAAGGAATGAGCTGCTCCAGCTGGTGCATCTCTTATATACCCTGGCACAGGTTGGAACGCTGTGTAAATATCCTTTCAAGAGTTCAATTCGGATGTATTAATGTAATTAAACAACAAATCGTACTAAACAAATAAAATTATTGTATTCCTTTGAAGAGGCGATTGAAAATGTATGGAAAAATTTCCCATAATACTAATCAATTTATGTTCTCTGGAGTTGAGTGACCTGAACGCAAGACGTAGAGTCCCAGCACCCACGCTGCCGCCCACACTCACGCTGGCCCGTGGAGCCCGTGAGGTTCATGGTTGAACTATATAAGGTTGACCCACGAGAAGTTCCGTCTTTCAGATAAGCTTTCTTATTACATCACGTAGATCGAGAAACGTAAACAAACCCGTCATTCCCATTACGGATTGGTTGACTGGTTTGATCGCATTTCGGTGCCTGTGACGTCACTAAGATCAGTGACGTCACAGGTGGACAACGAACTGCATCCGCAAAAATGGGCTTCTGATGGGCCAACCTTGTACTAGTTCATTCATGGTGAGGTCCACCTTCATGATTTGCTGGGCCACGGCAGTGAAAATCTTAAAAATTTTATGATGTTCGTTAACATTGTTTGTGTATGATCGTTAACAGTGTATAATGTGTATCTTAAGTTCTATGCGCTGACGGGTGAATTAAACGTGAACCTAAATTGTACGGTACCCATAAATAGCGACACGGTTGTGAATCTTACAATGGTAGGGAGATATGCAAGCTTATATGTACGACGGTCCTAAATTCTGAGATGGTTTTCAGTAGTACGAAAAGTCTGACTTCTTGCATGATTGTAAGTACGTCAAATGATGAGCTCAAGTTTGGCGAAAATGATAGGTTCTTATATGACTTTGCGGCGTTCTCCATTTTCAGTTAAAACTTTCATGACCATGATAAGTTAAATGTGTTCACAGAGTGTGCGTCTCACTAATTATATTTGCCTTTGTAAATTCGACATCAATCACAATCTGGATAATTACAGTCAGGAGGTAAACTATTTCAATGTATTATACATTATCAGTGATTGGCAAATGAATTAGTTGTGTATTAAAAAAATACAAATTCATCTTTTTTGGTTCACACACACATAACCGCTGAAACGTTTTCTTGAAATAGTCGATGGCAGTTCGTTTGTTTCAGAATGGAATGTTTGATCTGAAAAGGAAAGTTATTCATTAAAATTCTAAGTTTAAGAATGTACTATTTAAGCAGATAAAATGCCTATCTGGGAAAAAAGGATTTTGTCGTCAGGAATGTTTACTTAGAAAGTCCGAAATCAATCAGACTTTCCGGAATTTGAAAAAAAATTGTGGACACCAATGCCAAACAGCTATACTAAGAAGAGAAGACGTTGAGAGCAAAAAAAATATAATTCAGTACTCACTGCAGTGAGTGACAGAGAGCGCATTTTCTCGTCGACGAAAACTTGAGGTCGCGGACGGACAGACAGACAGACAGACAGACGGACATGGCAAGCACAATAGTGCATTTATTCCATAAATGAGAAAATGCGCTAAAAAGTAGACGTTCAAATGATCAGTTATCTCATTGTTGTGTTGTCAAGATTTTCCCATGAGTCAATTGCAGTAATCGGCAACTAAGAATTAACGTGAATGCTTGCAGTCATCTTGGATCCATGGAATGAATGCTGGCATCTTGGATCCCTGCATGCAGGCAGAAGCTTCAGAACAGCAGTCACTCTAACAAATAATTATTTTAATGTAAACAATCCGTATGAGGATTCGCATTAATTTGAAACCGTTTTATGACCACATCAGGACTATAAAAATTATTGCGCATTGTTACAGGTGAAACTGTTGAATAAATGGAATCTGATTGAAATGTGAAGAATTCGTTAAATTCAAGAGCAGTATAAAATGTTGCAAGCTAAGTTAGTATGAAAATAAATTTAATTCTGTTCGTTTATTTCTCTCATCAATGTAAAAAATTAGAGCTTCTCCTTTGATTGCTAGAACAACGGACCGCACCGATAAAGTTACTTTAACTGATGCACAGACGCCGCTTTCCGCTCGAAGAAGCAAGCGATCAGTTCCTTCTCTTGTTGTAAACAGATTAAAAAAGAACGATTACAAATAAATATACATTATACGCTGCACAAGTGATCCATCGGAATATAATTAAAATTCGCCATATTTTCGCAGAGCACCAATTATCTAGTGTACTTAAAAAAGGTTAAAATCATCCTTCAAATAAAATTACATACTATAACAGAAGATATCTAAATTGACAGTATGTTAGCATATGCTAAAATATGTTTTCAGGCAATATATTGACTGACATCGTAAGATGATTACTGTTTGCGTGGAATGTTTACTTGTGACATGGAAATGACACGCTGGTCACTGGGAGAGCCAAACTCTGTACCTCTGGTCGGCCATTATTATAGAAAATTTCGAACAGCAGGACAATATGCGTGGTAAGAAAAATTTTGCTCTATATGCACTGGGCTTGCCAAAAATAAAAGAAAATTAGCGAATTGCTGATGAAAGTTTTAAACGGCCGACATTATCAGTAGAAATTCTGCATAAAAAATATCGTTTAACTAAACATGACACTTTTAGTGCATTAATTTTGGTACTGTATAAGCAATTCAACAAATGGCCCTAAAAATATGAGCTTGAATTTAAAGAAAATTTTCTATGTTAACTCCAGTTAATTTAACTGGAAAATTTATTTCTTAGCCTGCTGAATACAGTAGAAAATTATTTGACAAAATTTATTTAATTACAATAAACTCTAATGGAAATTTGAGGCTTAAATTTCTCAATTAACCTATCCGCCATATTTCATTTCAAATCACAATTCAGTTCAATGATAACTGATATAAAATTCATGAAATTTAAGTGGAACTATAAACCATGTAAATAGATCATCAAATTGGAATGTAATCTTATAAAATCTATATTCATGCTCTTGGAATTTCATGATCACTCCACATATTATCACTAAACAAGAGTACGCCAGTGCCATTTTTAGCGCATTTTCTCATATATGGGAAAAATTCACTATTGTGCTCGCCATGTCCGTCTGTCTGTCTGTCCATCTGTCCGTGACCTCAAGTTTTCGTCGACGAGAAAATGCGCTCTCTGTCACTCACTGCTGTGAGTACTGAGTTATATTTTTTTAGGCGTAGGCCTAAGCTGGTCCTGCTTGGTCGAGGTTCCGACCACGGCGCTCGTCTCAGGCTCTCAGCAAACAGTTTCTGAGATTACTGCCACAGGGCCACAGGTCTGTGTTAGCTTTCCGTGGTGCTGGAAAGTCAATCTTCTGAGAAGAAAAAAAGATGTTTCAAATAAATTTTGCCGCGCGAGTGACTGAGTCGTCATGCAAGATTGAAAATACGGAAAAGGGAACATAATGCGTTGATGTTAACTTCAACTTGCTTGATTTTCATCAACTAGCGCCAACACGAATTTTTCATTCGATACATTATCCATTTCAATAATAAAAACGCTTCGAAAATTTCATTAGATTCGGAAGAAAAACTTGATAGGTGACGTACGTGAAAACTGAAAATTTTCATTACTTGTGCTATGATTGCCGAGCACAATACCTTGAGGTTGGCAATTGTGATTTATATGTAAAAATACTTACCTACTTAACGGAAACTACCTCACTGAGAAGCAAAAAGATTTTTTCTTCATTGGAAATATTGTAATAATCAGAAAATTTTGTGAAAAGTCGGTTCGGACGGTTTTAAACGCGTTTCTTAGTCAACAATGAAGGAATTTACCTAAATATTAGTAAAAAATTAGTATGGGCCTGATTAAATCCCAGAACTAAATACAAGACTCATCAGCTCGTGCTAGAAGTTACAATTTTGAATTCATCCAGTGAATCAATTGCACGTGAGATATTGCAAACCTCGTACGAACTTCAGTAAGACTTTGTAGACAGTCACGAAATAACGCAGATATTATCTTGATCGTTTGCATGAACAAACAACGCTGAAAAATAGACGATAAGCAGGCAATTAAAAAAAAAGGTTATTCAAATAATATTTTTTATTGAAAACCCGCAACACACACATGTAAACATAAACATTTCTAACAGTTATACGATTTCAATTGCAGCAGCAACTAGACTTCAGTACCACACTACTAGTGACTAGTGAGGCAACAAGCATTATGTCCAACCTTGTGGCGAAAATGCATAATTATTTCGGATTTTTTGTTTTTGCATTTTCCATTTTATTTAATGGAGAGATAATTTTATTAGCCACTTGTGAGTTGTACATCAAGATTGTAAAAGTTCATTCATTTAACGCATAGCAAAATTGATGGTTACAATTTACACTTGGACTCAAGCTTTTTTACGGTCACAGGTTGCTGATTTCACCATAAGGCGACCACGCGGTATTTTTATCATGGTTGAACTAGTATAACCACAATTTTATTATTCTAACTTGAGTCGTTCTTTTGAAAAAGCACTAATCGTAAACCAAATTATTGCAAAGTCATAATAAACGCCAGTTTCAAGATTAACGAAAATGTTAATAGAAACACGATTTCATGGGAATATTGCATTAGGAGGCCGAGTTCGGATGGAACGAAGAAATGTGAGAGCCAAACGCATTCGAATTAGGAGACTCATTTCGCATTCGGATTTCGTATCAAGAACCGCCTTTGTATCATTAATCTTTTCATACTGGTATCCGCCTTAGCATTGATACTAAAATAACGGATGATGGACAAGTCGCTCCGGCTTGTGGTCAAATAAAGCGATTGCGGTGCCGTCTGCGAATCCAGTACAGAGTAACTCCGTCGTGAATTTAAGTTGATGGAAAATTATCAACATCAATAGAATTGCGATCTACATAAAACGGTGACACAACAATAACAAAACAAGTACCATCGGAAAAAGAACACTTGCACGTAATTACGACGACTCGTGCCCCACAAGTCTCACCATATGCATATGCAATCTCACGCCACATAAAAACATTAACAGTCATCAAGCACGGTAGGAAAAAAGTCAACACAAGTAATAACAACTCAAGTTCCCACAAACCTTTACATGAATAACGGCTTCAGCGTTGAAGATCAGGACATTAGTTCTGTCGCCGATTATGATCAACTTGGCAGAATTTTCACAGTCTCGAATCAGCAACTTGCTTTCCAATATCCGTTGTGCCACCACTCCGATTTCGACCAGAACTTTTCACCGTTGGCTGGTAAAATCGAACCCACAACTCATTGCTCCTATTTTGGAGCTGAGAACTTCGAACACTCGGCCACCCAGTTGCAATCTCGCGCCACATAACAATTGTAACAGAACCATCTAGAACGGTAGGATAGAACAATACCACGTAACTACGACTCAAATCAGTCAAATGTACACTGGGTCATCAGCAAACTGGCATTTTAGAATAAATTGAACCAGAGTTTCTGTTTTTATTCGGAAAATTAATAGATATTTCTAGTTCAAATATACCCATACCCAAGAAGCAAGAACATCAACTGAAATCGTAGCACTCGTTCAAAAACCCCAGACCCCTCAACCAATTAGAGCGTTCGAGTTACGTACATAATATAAATTAGCATATGCGATCCACAAATTTTACGATTGTCTTTTATCTCGTAACAATTTGGTAATGAGAACTTCAGGCGCAAGCATGGCCCTGGCGTTATTGATGACCTACCGAGTTACTATTCCTTTTAAACTAGTTCAGCTGGGTTAACCTCATTGACATCAGTAATAAGATAAGCAATCTTACGGTAAAATCACACGTAAAGCCAAATCGATATACAAATAAAATTCGCATCTGTCGAAATAGAAGTAATAACTTGCGTTTGAATCACATAAAAAATATCCGGACGTGTTCGACGAGTGCGTGATTGGTTTTAGGAATCTTTTATCCGCAAGGTGAAGACCAAGAGCTAGTCAAGGGTCGCACAAAGCAGGATTCGAACGATCTCAAGGAGCAGCATCAGTCTAAACACGAGTAACAATTCTGAACATTAATAAGGTCACTAGAAACACGACTATCAGTGTACCAGCAAAATCACAGGCATGCTTCTATATTTCTCTGCTAGAATTCAAGATAAAAACATATAACCACCTTGACAAAAAGATGTAACAAAATAGAGGGAAATCATAACAAATGTAGCTTGCTTGTACATAGGGGAAATTACAATTAATAAGTAGCACAAAAATGAAATCGAAGCAACCGTACATAAACCAATATTTCACCCACAATAACCTTTATATTTATTCTATCTTTTAGAAGTAGAATACAATATTTAGGAGAGCACAATCGAAATATAGACGCTTCTATAAGGAAAATGATCAGCAGACAGTAGAGCAGAATTATGGGCAGTTAGGTCCTGACATGACGGAACGAAACAATTAATTAGGTATTATTAAGCATGAGTTCAAATCGATGATTTATTTCTTTCTAAATTAGATGAAAATAGTGAAATACAAGCTACCCAATATTGTTTAAAAACTAAAATAAAAGAATGGCATTAAAAACTGATAGCGGAGGTACGCACATAAAAATAGAAACCATAGACAATTGATCACAAATTTTAGGGGATCTTAGGCGGCATTGCCAGGTTTATTCAATGATGAATTAAATAATAATTATATAAAATATTATAACTAAAATAAATTAAAAACTTGGTACATCCGTGGGCTAGCAGTCTGAAATGGCAAACGAGGTCCGTCAAAGCCATCCAAACGTTAACAAATTAGTTTGAACCATAGTCTTCAAAGCCAAGGTTTACGACCAAGTGCCTAGCAGTCATGGGAATGTAGAGACAAATAACAAGACAGGAAATTGCTGGAGGAATCACACAGGTTCATGTGGTAAATTAGTTGGCACTTCAGAGAGGCCGTGCAACTGTCAGCTGCAGGTGCATGAAACTCAAGCTGAAACTTTTATTTATTCTTCTTCTGGTGGCCTTTCTTCTCCGAACGCGCAGGTTGCCCTAAGAAAAAAGAAATTATTTCAACATCAATATTGAAATAAAATACAGTGCAACGTCATCACCAACGCAAAAATCATTAAAAAAAATAACTAAAGACTAAAAGACTAAATCTAACTGAAAAAAATTGACAAGAAACTGTTCAACAAGGTTGACAACCTATGAAAAGTTGAAAAAAAATATTTGAAGGCATATAAAAAATCTACTCGATGTGTATGAGTTGAGGCAGGAGGCCAGACTTACGCCATCTGAGAGAGTGCAGGACGTGTCCAACAAAATAACACAGCCCCATGAGACCAACCAGCCCCACGATGAACAAGGCTCGGTGGGGAGTTGGGAGCTTGGCCAAAACGGGGTAGACCCAGTCGCCGGTCGTGTGTGCAATGAAAAAAACCCTGTACATTGAATGAGAATAATGAGTTCCTGTTCAATAAGAAGTACCTACTGCGCATTAGAGAAGTTTCTAGAATAATGGTAAATGTTACAGCCAATTCTTCAAAAATTGGAAGAAAAAACTGAGAACTGTTGTTTTAAAGTTCTGTGTCAACTGGTGGGCGTGTTTTTGTATAACAACAAATATTAGATGAAGATCCCACCAACAAAAACGAACACAGAAATCAATGCACAATTAGAAAGTAAACCATATGTTTTGTCTACTGAGAAAAAATTTTACTACCATCATCATCATCATCGTGAAGAGAGTTTTTTTAGACTCTCCCTCAAGTTCATTTTTGAGTCCTATAAGTAGACCAGTAAAGTATCATGGATACCAGCATCATCATACATAAGAATTTGGTTTAAATCTTGAATAAATGAGGAAATTAAAAATGAACTGATTCTAAATAATATACGTTTAAAAATTACTTTTTAAAGACAACACTTTCCATGAATCCAGTGTCTCTAATCTTACAGATGTACAATGAATTTCTCATTTAATTTTCGAATATTTAAAAAATCAATTTTTCATTTTTTAAATATATAAAAAAAATTTTAATATATGATTTTTTTTAATTAGTTATTCTGTTAATTGATTCATGCATTGCCTCTGACTTCATACAAGTGTGCAAAATTTCAGATCAATTAGACAGGTAAAAGTGTGTCAAAAATCAGTTTTAAGATTTGTAGCTGACAAAATTATTTTTACAATTTTTTTAATATTAAAAAATAATTTTTAAAATAATTTATTTTGACATTTGTTTCATGGATTGTCTCCAACTTTACACATGTGTGCAAAATTTCAGATCGATAGGATAAGTAGAAGTGTATTAAATTTTGATTACAAGATTTGTAGCAGACAAACAAACAAACAACAAGAAGTGAAGTTAAAGAGAAGTGTTGTAAAAATCTCTGCTTTGCCACTAAGCTACCATGCAATGTAGATGCAGGAAACGAGGCTGATGCAGAGAAAGCCTTTTTTCTTGGATGGAAATGATCTCTGAACACAGAGCAGCTCCAGCAACACAGCCACCAGGGGTAAGGTGTGCACAACATGGTTCAGCCATGACGGGAAGAACTCGTCAAAAATTTTAGGGAAAACAAGTTCTCGATCAGTGAAGAACAACCCCCAGAAAGATGTTGCCACAAACTGCAATGAGAATTTAATTTAGACACAGATATATATAACATATTTAAATTGAATTTTTTTACAATCATTCATTACTTTAAAATAAAATAGTCAGTACCATATGGCTCTTCAGAATTTATAATCTATAGTTTAGATAATTTTAATGTCAATACAAATAATAAACAAGCATATAGCTGTAATTTAGAGTGTAAACTACTACAATAACAATAGTAAGCTATGAGGAAAATCATGACAAATAAGCCCTAACAAGCTAACATAGAAATCCAATTCAGTATATTCAAGTACCAGTATAGGTACACTTCAACTTAGCCAACATTAAAAGTAGACAAGGACTATTTTCTATTCAATAAATATAAATGGGCAATACTTTGGCAATATTCCATACCACAGCCAATGGGAAGACTATTGAGGAGAAGAGGAAGTCCAGGGTCTTTTCAGGTGCAGTCTTGCGCTTGCTCCGTTGAGCTGATGAGAAGACATTGCTCAGGAAGCATGAGCTGAAGAAAGCACACTGAAGTAGCTGAAATAAAAATTATCAATCATATTAGATGTTTTTTCCTTTAAAATCATAAATACATGTTCATAGAAGCATTAATTTATTTACCTTAAGTATTAAATATTATAGGAAATTTCCTTAATACAAAGTTTGATGTCAATAATATATACAGATACGTATATATACATATTTATATATATATATATCAAAATTGTATTGTAGAAAACATTTTAAAAACTTCACCTTCATTCAAATACAACCAAACTTCAAGTTTAACCACAAATAACTCACCAGATCCCAGTAAGTTAAATACTTGAAAACACCATAGTTAGACCGACGTACTGTTGCTATTTCTTTGGGCGGAATGACTCCATATATGTAATAATATGAACTGTATCCATAAATTACAGCCAACACAAAATGATAACTTGTAAGAAGACTCATAATTGTTTTATATAATGTAGTTATAGTTTATATTTTATCCAACACCTTAACACTTGAATAACAATCTATTTTTTCAGCTTGCAGCCTTGCCTTCTGTGGAAAAAAGTAACAACTGGTGAAAACATCACAATGATGTTTCTGTATAAAACAAGCATCCCATCTGGATCACAATTGAATAATTGCAAGAAACCATTTCTAAAATTCCCCCAATCCATTATGTACCTGTTCATTATGGCCATACTTCACGTAAAATGCACACATTCTTTGAAGAGAGTGTGACTGGAGATTCTTGACTGGCCTGGATATTTTCCAGACATCAATCCCATTGAAAACTTATGGGCTATAATCAAACAAAGACTCCTGAAAGAAGACTGTTTGACAATGGCAAAGCTAATTAGTGCTGTAATTAGGACCTGGTATCATGATGAGCATGGGACTAAAATGTGTTCAACTTTGGTTGAATCCATGCCAAATCGTGTTCAAATGCATGTAAAAGAAAAAAGGAGGTCATATCTCCTATTAATTATATCATATTTTGTACCATTTTTTAAAATAAAACTTCAATGGGGCAAATAATTGTGTTATTTCAACTACTACTGTCCAAACTAATTTGCACAATACTGTGCGTTTCATAAATCTCACTTTGCACACTTTTTTTCAAAGATTTTTTAGAGATAGTAAATGTATGATTTCTCAACTTACTTTATGCTATATAGATAGTAAAAATGTTAAACTTTATACCACTATTTCTAGTTTTGCAATGTTTTGAATAGTTTAGCTGTTATAACATTTCTACAAAATGTGGGACAGCTGTCCTGATTTACCCTGCCCGTCCCTTATTACCCTGCTTGACAGTACTTGGGCATCTGCATCTCTTTTATATACTATAATACAGCTCCAGAGTTGAGAATGTCTTTGCTTTACATTCCTTGCTTCCATACTTTCAAACCACATATTTTCATTATTATTTTAGCTTTTTATTATTATTTGACATTCCATTCTATCCTAGCTAAACCCTGTACTAGTTGATAAATTGATGTTGTTGATGGCTTGAAGGTGAGGAAGTAGCCGCATGATGATCGCTTGTTACACCTGGACTCGGCAGAATTTACTTTGGAAGTTTCAGTATTATTCCACTGATTCTTCATTTCTTGGTGATTGTTTCTAGTGGGCTTACCTATTCAAGATTTCTGCTAAAGTTCCCTCCACAAAAAGTAGGTATACAAACCGATAGATGCAAGACACCTAAGACGTGAGTACTATTGAACAGCGCATTGTAATGGGTCGTCTTTATTAGTTAAGTGAGGGAAGGTATTCAAGGTTCTTTAAAATCTAAAAGGTTAAATAAAAGATGGTCTCCCAACTCCCCTTATAACCATCCCTGTCCACCAGGTGTTTTTCTCTTTTTTGTTCAACTTTATTGAATTCTAATAAAAAACTTCATTATAAAGGGACTTAAAATTTGAACCTAAGAGAAAGCTCTAAAACAAAAGCCTAACAAAATAACTGGATAACCAGATAACAGGAAACCTGACAACTGGCAACCAGGCAACTGTACAACCGGACAAACGAGGCATGGGTCGCTTATGAAGTACTTGAAGATGCTTCTGTAAAATATTTACCTGCATTATCAACACCTAAAACACTATTATTAAACATAACATCAATACAAACTTCAAAACATATATACACAATAAACTATCAAGCAGGATAACAGATAAATATATTTCTCATCTATAATGATATTCTCAAAAACACGACATTAAAATCTTTACCACTGAATATATGAACAGTGTTTTAAAAAGTATATTTTGGCAACTACTACTCACCAAGAAGAGGCAGTAGTGAATATAAGGTAATGGCTGATAGAAGATTTGGAATTTCAATCACCACTGACACATGAAATAATGGTCTGCAAAAAGGGCAAAGAGAATGAGATGGAGAGCACTGATAACACAAATATAGATAATGTTCACCATAAATTTCAGGATTCTAAATAATTTCACATTAACTCGGAACTGGGGGAGCGTTACTTCCTTAAGTGGGATCAAGGTAACCACCACTCTCCAGCAGTAAGAGTGACAGCCCATAACAACATGACACTCCAGATGGTACTGAGTGCATGCCAGGACTCAGGAGAAAACAATCAATAGACAAAAGACTGCCAATCCTGCCATGGCTGGAACGCAAAGGCTAAGGCTATTATGTCTCAATATAGGTATGTGCATAAACTATGCTCAAATGTAAACAATGCTGGCAAAATGGCAGACCGCCACTTTTTGCATCAGCACGTGTAAGCTATTTAATTTTAAAAGTCCTGCTCATATGTTAGCTCACTTCAAATGACTTGTGTTCATTTCCAAACTATAGAAACTTGAACTATGATGATACAATCTAAAGAAACTTGAACTATGATGATACAATCTTGTTTTTTTTTAGAAATTTCTATCAATTATTTTCTTAGCTGGGATGTGCAAAAGGTAACATTTTATGCTAAAAATAAACCTTGACATCAATGATTTTACTGCTAGCCTGCTAGGAGAACATTGTTACATGAAATTGTTTACTTGCGTCTAGTGTCAGATTGTAATCAAGATCTACTTACTAGTGAAATTTGTCAACTTGTCAAGTGCTACTGCCAGTCCGGATTGGAATTTTCCTACTTGTTTCTGAGATCTTGCGGCTCCAATGTGACGAATTTTTAATACATTTGGAATCACGCGGCCCAATCTTGCACTTTTTTTTAACAATTAGATAGAAGGTAATTGATCTGGCGGAAATCTCACCATTCTGGAAATGGCGGGGAAAGCTCCTGTTGTGGTCCTAATGGTAGAAGTTTTCCATGCTTGCCGCCAGTCAGCTTAGTCCTAAGTCCTAAGATAGCAATGGCAATGCAATGCCCAATGACAAATTGGCAATTATCATTAGTCAACATGTATTATTATCATTATCTGAAATTTATTATCATCATTTATTGTTATCATATACATAATCTTTACATCATTTTTACAGCATTTCCACATCATTTTCACACAATTTTTACATTATTTTCACATCGTTTACTCATCGTTTTCCTATCATAGGGTAAACACACCATATTCCGACATCTTAAGGACGTAGCAAGAAATAAATGGCTATAAATAGATCACCGTATGTGCAACTTGAGTTCTAATTGGTTTAGGTCTCTCTCAAAACACCACACTATGCGCCAGCAATGATGAAACGTCACAAACTGTTGCCATATTTATTTAAAAGCCTTTAGAATTCAAGTCTACTAATTCGCTGAATTCCGGCACTGTGTGACTAAATACTGCATATTGTAAGACTAATTCCGACAGCACTTCAAAATCTGTCAGGTTGTGAGGCATATTCAGTCAAGCTTTTATAAACATTCCCAACAGTGTAATAGGATACTAAAAACACTTTTTTACTGAAAATTATTTCCTCTTTCCTTGGCTAGACATCCTTTGTTATCTTATTTTGTTAAGGCCTGGCTACCTTCAAGACAACACTTGCACACGAAATCAACGTCTTCTCCATTCTTTATAGCATCCCAATCAAAACAAATTTTGTTCATATACTTTTTTGGCAGACCACTAATATGCATTTTTTCATCATAGGGATCACAATTGATCCACTTAGCCTTTACTTTACTTTCTTTATCATTCAACCATGAATGATTACAATATACACACAACCAGTCATCATTCTTTTGGCCTATTGCTTTTTCAAGTAATTGTGATCGATACTGGCAAGCGCTAATGACGCTCAGGAGTGGTGTTGCTGCCTGCTGGGGCCTTTCTCTCTTTATATACTATTTTGGCTGGATAATGAAGATGTTTTTATACTGGATTTGGAATAGTTAATGTTGACAAAGTTTTAGATGAGGTTGCCAAGGTTCAACTTCTGGATCCCAGAAGTTGAAGGCTGAGGCTCCTGACGGGTAGAAGTGGCAGTAGTTGAAGACTGTGGTTCCTTAGTGGTAGAAGTGGCAGTTATTGAAGGCTGAGGTGAAGAAGTGACAGAGGGAATGAAAAACAAAGATGCAGAGGCAGTAGCAGAAGATGGAGCTCTTGAAGGAGGATCATTTGTTGGTACTGGTGAAATGGCAGGTGCCATATATAAATCGCCCTCATCCATGTCTGGACCTATTTCAATTGTTTAATTTGGATTGATTACTAATTGGGTATTCCAGAGTCAAGATGTAGCCAAATAAAAAATCTTTGAGTATTCATCTGCAGGAAGGTTGATGTTAATTAGGGATCCTCACTCTTTGACAGCTTCATTGGCTGATGCAACTGAAGATTGATTGGGTCCAGCAGTAGCTGCAGTACTATCTCCTCCTGCTCCTGCTTGACTGAAACGCAACTCTCCTCATCTGGTTGTTGAGCAGCTTGCACAACTAACTCTTTGTACATGCCATGCCAGTCATCATTATCAAGCAGTTGTCCCTGCTTCAATCTTTGGCTTTTCTCAGGTCCTAAGAGAGTGTAAATAGTAGAAAGAGAAATTTCGAGCTGCTCTTTCGATGGTCTTAACTGAACAGCAGGAGTACTAGGTTTACTACTGCTCTGCTGGACCTCTTCTTCGTCTTTGTCAATGTCTAAACACTTTTTGTAATCAATTTGATCTTCATTCAGTGGGTACAGACCGCAAGCACGAAAGCCATTGATGATTGATTGCTTGGAAACCAGCTGCAAGACGTCTTTAAGGAGTGGGGCAACATCTTTTCTCCTAACCACAGAGTTAGGATTCTCCCTCTGAAATTTTACAACTGCCTGCCTCCAGTACATCTTCAAAGGATTGAAAGGCCCAACATCAGCTGGTTGTAAAATTTGAGTCATGTTTGGCAGCAAACAATAAAGTATGATCCCATTATCTTCGCAGAGTGTTGAAGTTTGAAGTGTTATATGGGTCTTGTGCCCATCCACAAATAAAATTACTGGCCTTTTTATGCTTTTATCATTAAGCCATGGTAAAAAGGCATTAGCAATGAATTCGTAAAAAGTTTCGGCTTTCATCCAGCCAGACTCTGATGTTCCAATAATAAATTCATCCGGAACTGCATTGGCAATGTTCTTAGGAAGCCGGGCATAGGGGTATATTATCATAGGGGCCACAATATCTCCCTGGGCACTGAAGGTACCCAAGAAAGTTAAATTTGATTTCTCAGGACCTGATGCCACTTCATATACATTCTTATGGCCTGTTAATCCAATGACTTTCTCAGTTGAAGGGCATAGCTGGATCGAGGACTCTTCTGTGTTAAAAATGCGTGCAGGATCAATGAATATGTCCTCGCATCCATCTTCGGTAATATGCTGCCGCAGCTCCCCAAACCACTTCCTGATGCTGGACTCTGTTATTTGGCATCTCGCTTTTGAAACATGCTCTGGTATGCGCACAGACAGATCTTGATGGCGCCTCATGAAACCCTGAAAAAATTAACATAGTTAAATCACTGGATGAATAACTTTACCTACTTCATCTATTAAGTGAATTGTCCAAATAATAACTTTAACTTTACCTCAAACCAGCGTCTTCCAGGTCTGTCTTTCTGAAAAGGACTTTCCCGCCCTGGGATGTCCTTGATAAGGCGCTGAACGGTGTTAAGGATATCGTTCTTATGTGGTGGTAGACCTCTGCGACAACATTTCTTTATCCAGCTGCAAGAAAATTTAAATAAATTTTAATGATATGCTCCACAAATAATCCTGACACTAAATTCATTTGCATGTAGTTTACAGTATGTTTAAGGCTCTTTTTACTTACGTCGCGATTGCTTCCTCTTCATCATCTGTAAGGTAAGGATCTCGACCAGGTCCTTTCCCTTCTCGATACTTTCCAGAAAGTTTTTCAATTAATGTTGTACGGGGTATGCCATATTTTGCTGCAGCAGCTTTTTTTGTAATGCCCCCTTCTACTACAGCTAATATTGCTGACTTCATTGCTTCTTCATTGTACCTTCGACGTTTTGTTGCAGGTGGCATATCACATATATATATATATAGCTTACTTTACTATACCTAGTTGAAATTTAAATGTTTCTTGTGAAATTATAACTGAAAATAAAGAAGTTAATAAAGGTGATTAATTATCTTTATTCCATGTTTTGAGAGTGATGGAAATAGCAGCAAGTGATGCTACTTATGTCACTCTCTAAACTCGGACAATAATTAATGTTTTTCGCAAAAATTTAAATAAAAAAACTTAAATCTAGCAGTGATGTATATTTGTAAATACAGTAGGTACACACAATATCCAATTCTATTTACATGAATAAAATTGCAAATTAATCCTAAAATGCCACATTAGCCTATAAGCACCTCATTCCTACCATAGTTAATAAAAAATATCAGAAATCATGTGACGGATTCTGATAATATGCTCGTTACCATGGAAATAAGTGACATAAACTCAAAAACAGGACCTAAATATGCATTGTTTCTAAATAAACACATTTTTTACCCAAATGTGCGTAATTCTGACACCCTGTGTTAGAATTAGTTTTTATGTGTCTAAAATCGTCTCTTAAATCAATCATCTATTAATTTTTTTACCACTTAAAATCAGCAAATACAAGTATAGGTACTTAAAGAATTCCTAATATATTCACAGACTTATTTAAAAGTCTCAAACCATATCATTCTTTCTACACAAACAGTTTATCACTATTTAGTAAAGCAAGGTCAACTATCAACTTTCAGCTTTTGAACTGGGCAAGGTGGCCCAGTGGTTAAAGTTCAGAGTACATGCAAGATTAGGGCAGAGAGGTGCAGATTCGATCCCAGCTCTGGTCAGAATCGGCAAGGAGGCCGGGCGGTTAAGAAAAATAAATTTGAAGCAGTGAGTTGCGAGTTCAAGCCCGCAACAAACTGTGGATGTTCTGCAATGTTAAGAATCAGCAACAGGCCTAAGGCCTAATCAACGCTGAAACCGCTATATATCTATATACGTGTTTTGATGTTCTCACGATGACTTGGACTTATGCTCTGCAGATCTTAACATTTTCTGCTAGCCCTAGTGTTTTGCGGAAATCTTGCGCACAATAGTATGACATTGCTATTTCAACCATCTACGCATGCGTGAAACTAAGACCAAGCTTAATAAAAAGAAAAAAAGTTGAGGGGTGTTGGAATGGGTGAATAGCTAGAGGTCAGCATAGCCCAAGTCCACAGTGCGATTCATATACCTTCCCGAGCGTAACACAGCTGGGCATCTTCATGGCTTTTGACACAAAGCGCCCACCGGCCATCACACCGGCTGTTCAGTCACAGGCCGGACTCTGGAGCGCATACAGGCCATAGCACAGCTGGCCGGGGTGCAACAGGCCCTACCGCAACAGCTACTCCTAACGTAACCTAACCTAACCTTACCTGCGCCGCCTGATGCCTGCTGCAGTAGGGCCTGTTGTGCTCCGGCATTGTGAAGCAGTGGCTGCGTTGTGCAAAGCGGATTTACTGTTAGCCATAGCCCAAGTTACCCACAGGCCACAGCTCATTGGTCTGAGGCTATGTGTAGATATTGAATGCTGATGGTTGGCCTTGGGCCCAGGGCCTGTTTACGAGTCAATTTGGTTATCCACGGCTGCGCTCCCGTCGTAATTACCCAGTACCCACACCCACAGTGTCTGAATATGGTGCGTTTACCTATAATGAATGCATCAATGAACCCACAATCAGCATTCATTGATTTCATTCATCATTATTCATTTATAATTCATTCATTATTTGTCATTTATTTTTTAATTTGTCATTTATTTATCATATTTTCATTTTGTCATTTATTTATCATTTATTTTTGATTCATCATTTATTTATAATTTATTTATCAAACTGGAATTTATTATGTTCAATTCTGATTTCTTGTTTAATTTATAGCCTACCAAGGCAACCATTCATATCTATCAGGCTGCAGTCTACATGGTGGCAAACCAGAGATTTTTAGAATCAGTCCATTATTAATTTTCTCATTTACTCAAGATTTAAACCAATTTCTAACGTATGATAATGCTGGCATCCATGATACTTTACTGGTCTACTTATAGTACTCAAAATTGAACTTGAGAGAGAGTCTAAAAAACTCTCTGCTTTGCCACTTCAGGCATACCCATTTCCCCCACCCCCTGCAGGCTGCAGTCAAAGTCTCAACTCTCAACCAAAATGTTTTATTTTAGTTAGTACCTAGAATAGATAGCCTACAACAAGAGCTTTCTAATGGTACTACTAAAATTTTATAAACTGGCTCTTGGCCTTGGGAAACCTAAAATGATAGTTAAAAAAAAAAGTGCCAAAAATTGGTCCATTTTGGAGACATAATTTAATAGAGGAAAAAATTCATAGCTTTTTCAATTCAATATGTATTCTACTTATATTCATATGGTAATTAAAAAATCTTTTTTTCAGCTGTATAGTTTTCATCAAGATCAAATGAAATTTTTTTTGCGCACATACCCATGGTACCATGCACATAGGCCTACCTACGCAATGCCAGTCGTACGGACCATCTTCTTCTTCTTTTCCGGGTGTCCACGCTGGGTGGACTTAAAGCCACAGGACAACCGCAAGGATGACCGTTGGGCCTGAGAGCTTCTGCAGTTTTGGACCTCTTGGCAAGGAAGTCAATCCACTTTATTCTTGCTTATAAAAGGTCAGAGGGCGTGATGGTTGGGCTGGGCATGACAGCATGTAAGAGAAAAGTTACACAGAAGTCCAGAGCTGGGCAGCGCTACTTTGAAATGTAGCGGCGCTACCGCTACATGCTCTATATATAGCAGGCGCTACCGCTACTGCTACACCCACAAGATTGTAGCTAGCGCTGCCTCTACCGCTACCGCTACAGATGTAGAAAAAAATGGCGCTACAAAAAATGTAGCGCCGCTACATTAGCCACTACAATGGCCAAAATTATTGGGAATCTCTAAATATTTATTGTTCTGCTATTGGGATTTACTCATAGAATAGAATAGAAGTGTCGGCACTGAAGAAATAGGCCCATGGCCTGTTGCCAACTCTTGAATTTTTCGTGACTTGATTAACAAGGGATCCAGCCTTTGGAACCCAATCTTTCCATAACTGATGATTGATTGAGATAGCTGCTGGACTTATTGCCTGGTCCGTAATTTGCTAGGCATTTCAAGACTGAACATATGCTCCTGCATAGCTTCGTCTAGTCTGTTTTTGAAGATGTTCATACTTGGAGCGTCAACAATGCTATCAGGGAGGCTGTTCCACATGTCGGTGACTCAAAGCGAGAAGAAATGTTGTCGCATGGATGTGTTACAATGCAGTTTTTTTAGTTTATAGCCGTGGCTCCTGGTGTTGGTTCTTGTTTCAAATTCTAGTAATCCTTCTGGGATGGTGGGACATTGTATAAGTCATGAGTATTCTTGTATGCTCCAATGAGTTCCCCACGCAGACGTCAAAGTCGTCGATAACTGAGGCTTGGAAGCTTCATAATCTTTAATCTTTCCTCATAGGACTTGCTTTTCAAGCCCAGAATTATCCTTGTTGCACGTCTTTGAATGCTCTCTATTATATTTTTGTCCTTTTCAAGTTTCGGTGACCACACGATGTTTCCAAACTCTAGGTTTGGGCGCATGAACATTTAAACATAAACATTTAATGTTTAATGATAATAAAACATTTTCAAAACATATCAATGCAACTTTATTGCAATTAACCTAACTGAACTAGTATATGGGTTAGATACAGTAAATAAAAGTTCTAGCTATTTTCATGTTTTACCTTCCTACATGGATGTGTATGTGCATACCTTCCCTACCAATCTAGAAAATTATCCACATATACATACACAACAGCATGATATGTGCTGTGATTGAGTTGATGTCCCAATTTGGCTGCTTGGTCCGCCAGCTCATTTCCGTGTATCCCAGCATGGGCTTTTACCCATTGTAGAACTACTTGCCTTTCAAGGTTGAGGGTCCAAATGAGTCTATGGATTTGCTGAACCAGTAAGGAACACTTTGTAGTACCACTGCGTGGTGAGCGTAGAAGGAGCAGCGCTGATTGAGAGTCAGTACTGATGACCCAGTTTGGGAGGTTAGACTGCTGAATGATGTCAAGTGAATGATACAGGGCTATCAGGTCTGTCGTTAGGACACTGCAATTGGGGTGGAGGAGCCAAGAAAAAGCTCTTTTCTGTGATGGAATATATACTCCACAGGCAGAGGACTTTGAGGCAGAAAGGCATGAACCATCACAGTAGAATGCAAGGAAGTCTGCAAAGGTGCTGCAAAGTGTTGCACCAAATACAGTTGAAGGGTCCACACCCAGTGCAAGGTCCAAGTTCTCATGGATGTACCTGCCAATATCCACCCACGGAGGGATGGGGTCAACTACTGATATGGGTACATGACGGCTAGAAGGCAACATGGAACGCAGTTGATTGGCAGCTATGTCAATTGATGAGATCTCTCAAGCTGCCCAAGGCCGCACCATAAATACTGCAAGTTGATCGCTAGCTGGTTTATACATCTGCCTCAGAGCCAGCTGAGCACCCAGTGTGCAACGACGAGATGACAGGGCAGGGATACGAGTCTCTGCCTGTAAGGAAACAACAGGAGTAGTTCTTTGGGCCCCTAAAATCAGGCAAAGGCGGGCATTTTGCAATACCTCTAGTTTGCTCAAAAGTGTCCATGAAGCTGTTTGATAAAGAATTGAACCATAATCTATCTTTGCACGGATATAAGAGCAGTAGAAGAGCCTCAGGAAACATCTAGATGCACCCCAGTTTGGAGAGGCCATATGCTTCAAGAGATCCGTCCTCCGGATGATGTCACTCCTCAGGCTGGAGATGTGCGGTCCCCAGTGCAGATGAGGAGCATCAAATGTAATTCCGAGCACCCTGTGTCGTGACATAAGCAATGGCCTGTCCATCATACCTCATGACTGGAATATGTTTGCAGAAGTATTGGAAGACAGTTTTGTTGGGGTTGACAGTCAATCCCCAACGCTGGAAGTAGTCTCGGAGAGTGTTCAGGTAGCCAGTGAGGGCTGCTTTTGCAACCTGCATAGTACT